GCCTGTAGTTCCAGCTACTTGGAAGGCTGAGGCGGCAGGATCGCCGGAGCCCAGCAGATCGAGGCTGCGGTGGCCGGGAGCGGCCACTGCACTCCAGTCTGGGCTAAAGAGTGAGACGCCAACTCAAAAAAAAAGAAGGGACAGCGGCACAAAAGGGAAAGGAGACTGCTCCATCTTCTCGCTCCTGCTCCTTATTTCCCAACCCTAATCTTCAGTGCCTTCTGGGTTGATTGGAGGCTAATGCAACCTCCTTCTGGGATCCTTCAGAGTGTTCTCTATCCGGGCTGTGCCCTGTGACAAGGAGCTCTGAGCAGACATTCACCAAGTGGGCACAGAAACACAGACTCTGTCAAAAAAGGTGCTATGAGGCTAGGGTGATTTTAAAATAGACATCCCATAAAAGCAACTGCAGCATATTTAGCCCTGTGTATGTTCTGCTCACTAAAATAAACAGTTCTGCCATCAACATGGAATAATCCCTTTGTTGCCAAAAGTAATTTGGCCTCCCAAGACTTAATAAATAGCCAATATACTTCTGGCCTAAGGGCTGTGATTGTGGAAAATAACCCCGAGGAACAGTATTTTCCAGCAACCTCCTACTAGGTATTTGTTTTAATAATCTCTAGGTGTTGCCACACTTAGAGGATATTAATGATTTCAACAGAGTTTTTTTTCTACATTGCTAATTGGTATTTTATCAGCAGAAAAAGTATTTGCTTAGTAGTAAGTTATTTTTGTTAAACAGATTCAGAAACTATTGTGTCCTTATCACCAGAGCTGGCTAAATAAAACATTTCAAAAGTGGCCATCTCACTTTCTAGAAATAGGGGGTCATGTCATCTAGCACATTATCTTACCCATCCTTGGTACAACTTTCCTCCCACTGGAATCCTATGGCACATTGGCCTGATCATACTGTCTCAAATCTGAACAACCGGGAGCTCTTAGCGATTTACATTGTGGGTGCTTCTTCGAGTTTGTGATTTTCAGTTCTGTAAATGAGAACCCTTTAGCCAGGAGAGAAAGTGGGCACTCTGGAGACCGAAGCAGTAGAAAAATTTGGCCATGTTTTTAGGCTTAGTACAAGTTCTACTTTCTTAAGAGTTCAAAAAGAATACATTTTATATTAAGTAGAAACTTAACTGAAGAGAACGGCAGAAAGAGAGCACCAAACAGTATAATGAAATTCAAGACTCTGCTTGGAAAAAATGCAAGCTAAAAGGATTACCGTGTAGCCTGTGAGCTCCGCATACCAAGTAGTCTTTTATAAGCTTGTGTTTTGCACTTTGAAAGAAACACTCAATGGTGTTGGGTGAACAGGAGCTATTTATAGCAGTGTGACCCTGTGCTTCAGTGTGGGTGTCATTAAACAGGATGAAAGGCCCGTGACAATTCAAGACACTTGGAGACTGATCCACAGAGGACTGGGACACACCACAAGGATTTCCCAGAGTGTCATCACAGTAGAAGACTTTGAGACCATCGATGCAGGATATTACATTTGCACGGCCCAGAATCTTCAAGGACAGACTACAGTAGCTACCACTGTGGAGTTTTCCTGACTTGGAAGGGGAATAATAATGAACTTATGGAAGACCCACTCAGCTTTGGGCTTTTTATTAGTGCTTTGCCAGAGGCTAATGTTAAGTGCCAAACCTCAGCCCCAGCCTTTTGAGTCAGACCCAGACATCCAAACTCAAAGGCAGCCATCCAGCCTGTTCATAGAAGTGCTAACTTTTCTAACAGAAAGCATGTATTTTGATTGCTTACCCACATACGTGTATTTCTAGTTTTCATACTAAAAAAGTATATGTGTAGGCCGGGCTTGGTGGCTCAGCCTGTAATCCCGTGCTTTGGGAGGCCGAGGTAAGTGAATTGCCTGAGCCCACAGGTTCGAGACCCGCCTGGGCAACTTGGTGAGACCTCATCTCTACAATAAAAATCAAAAAATTAGCCGGGCGTGGTAGTGCGCGCCTGTAGTTCCAGCTATTTGGAAGGCTGAGGCGGAAGGATCGCCGGAGCCCAGCAGGTCGAGGCTGCGCTGGTTGGGAGCAGCTGCTGCACTCCAGTCTGGGTGACAGAGTGAAACTCCAACTCAAAAAAAAAAAAAAAAGTATATGTGTAAACGACTTTATATAATCACTTCTATTAAATGAGCAAGTTTTTATAAAAAAAAAATAGGCCAAGTGCTCGTTATTTAAGTTGGCTTAAAGTACATCCAGAAGGACTTGGTGGCTGTAATACCTTGGGGTCAATACCTAGTATTTGCCTTCCTATAACACAATATATAATAACTTTAGTACTAATATGTAGTTCAACTACTTATCTGCAGGCAGCAACTTGAGTTTCAAATGCTTAGGCATGTCACTTTTTCTTAGTAGCAACTCAAAGCTAATGTGAGTTAATTTATGAAGTTATTTAAATAATCGTGTATGCTTGTTTTTTTGTGTGTGTTTTTGAGTTGGAGTCTCTCTCCATTGCCCAGGCTGGAGTGCAGTGGCATGCTCACTCACAGCCACCCCAGCGTCCACCTGCGGGGCTCTGGCGATCCTTCCAAGTAGCCAGAGCTATAGGCTTGCGCTACCATGCCCAGCTAATTTTTTTTTTTTTTTTTTTTTACTTTATTGTAGAGGCAAGGTCTCACCAAGTTGCCTGGGCTGGTCTTGAACCCATGGGCTTAGGCAATCCACTTGCCTCAGCCTCCCAAAGTGCTAGGATTATAGGCTGAGCCACCGAGCCCAGCCACGCTTGGCTTTTTAAATTGCTGTATCCAAAGTATTAATTCTAGATTAGTCTATTCAATACAAACTAGAACATGTTTTAAAAAGTTTAGCTTTCAATATAAAATAGATACACAGATTAAAGAAGATTCAACTTTGTTTGGACATTTTTATCATTTTCAAAAATTTTTACACCATAGATATTCCAATTCTCTTATGTTATACAGCAGACCTGAATAAAAACAAGCCAAAATTTATTTCTCAGATGCACATAGCACTGAATTTAGAAAGGCTTAGCTCTAACTCTAGCTCTGTGAGCCAAATTTCAGCCCATGACCGATTCTGTAGTTGTACTGGAAATTCCTGGGAAATAGCTTAGAAGGTTGCATGATCTTACCGACTGCTGGGAGAAGGGCTGTTAAACTTGGTATCACTTTGAAGAGTGAAGTATGTGAGAGGTTGCAATTATATTGAATATTCCAGCATTATTTATTTGATCAAAGTAAAATACACTTTCCATCACTACAAACTGAGCACAACTACAATTGTTTACACATCCACATTTTTATGACGTGCCAACATTTTGCATCCTACATGAGACATTTGGTTTGAAGAAAATCTTGAGTTCTCTATTTTTGTTTCCTATCTTCTCTCCTGTCCTCTCCCATCCTCTGAAGACATTTTATATTAACTGTTGTAAGATTTATTTCCCAGTCACACAGTATGGAGGACAGCAGGGAACAGCACAAGATTTACCACACATAGGGAATGAATGGCAAACCCAGCTTTGGCTAATGTCATTGAGAACAACTTGGAAGCATGAGCAGAGATAGTCCAAGAAGTGGCAGTGAACCTGTTTCCATTTGTCAGAAGCAAACATGGAAGGTTACATCTATGATTAACTATTGGAAATTAAAGACTTTAGACACAATCACTAATTAAAAAAACATGCATCATGAGTATCAATTTGCTATGTAGTGTACATGTACATGACTCAAATAGCCACCTCTAGTATCCTGAATTTTACTACAGGAGTTATTTATACAGCCACTGAATGCAGATTAGTAAATACTGACATCACAATGTGACATGCAGGGAGAGGAAGAAGAGCCACAGTTCTTCCACCTTTTCCAAAGTCTTAGAATTGGAGAAGGTATTAGGTGAAAAGTGCTAGAAAGAAACCGAAATGTAACTTTGAGATGAGTGGTACAAGCCACATTTTCCACTGGTCAGCTGGCCATTCTATCTTCCCAAAGACAGAAGGGTCCCTTAAAGGGTACCTGAAAAATCAACATGATCTTCCTAGACTGTTCTCGTCTATTAAATACTGCATCACCGGTTTAATCATGGTGCTTCTAAACACTGAACCCTATCTATCTTTCTTTCTTCCACTAGTTAATGACTTCCTCTTTCTCATTCTTTATTCTCAGCTTTTCCAAAATTTGTAGTATTAGATCCAGGCCTTAATCTATTTGGAAAGTGGTTTCAGCACCTTGAAGATGAGCTGGCTCTGGAAAAGCATATTCCTTTATCCTTGTCCTAGAGAAAAGCAGGTAGGAGGTAGAAGGTTTGCTTTTGTGGCTCTGGGTGGTGGCAAAAGGAATAGGGGAATGAGGATAACGGGAGGGAAGACAACAGTTTAAATCTGTAAGGATAGCTTAGATCAAGGTAAAAATAAGGCAGAACAATCCATTGGTTCTGCCCTTTTTCTTTATACAGGTTTCTTTTTTGTAGAAAAATTAGGGTTCTACATTTACTTATAGCCTGAGAAAACCTAGAATAGTGTTAAGCTCACGTGGGATGTAAAAAAATCTGCAGAAAAATCTAGCTAGTTTCAAATGACATGGCTACACGTTGAAAAATTGCCAACAAATTACCCCAAAAGATACAGAGAATGTATACACATCAATGAGTCAAAGCTTTTCCTGGAATACCCTCTTCCCGCCATGTCACAGGGCTGAGTGAAGCTGGTAGTCAATAATCACAACTCAAGCAACTATTGCTTTTTCTTCTATGGCTTTTGCTGAAATGTGTACATGGATTATTTGAGTAGTACATATTTAGATATATTCAGCTTTTGACTTTTAATACACAGCAAAGGCGGCTGCACCAGACACATGACACTCTGTCACATCCATTTCATTCACACTTCCCCCCTACAGTCAGACCAAAATAAAACTCACAAGAAGGTGTCTGTGGTGAAGAACATTATAAAGGTTATAAATCTTTATCTTAATAGGCCCCTGAGAGTTTTGCCCCTTATGCTTAGGTGAAAAAAGGCAACGAACAAGATTCTCTCGTTCTTTTAAGTGCTCTGTGCAACAATGTCTGTGTCTATTCCGAAACCTGTTTTGGAGGAGTCTTTTGAACGGAGGTAAAGGTCTTTCTTCCAGAGTTCCAGTCTCAGAAGTAGCCAATTCTCATGGTGGTAACTCTCCAGTTATCCTACGGTGATTACACACACACTAGCATAGCTCTTGCTCCCATGGTCACGGTTAGGGTCAGTCCTGCAGACCTGTATCGAAATGCTTTCAGACAAGTCTCTCAGCTTTCAGGAAGCGTCATCTGGGTGAAACGCTGGGGCTGGGAAAGGAGCCAGAATTCCTTGGTGACTGGAAAGGGATGGCCGAGGAGGTGGGGGATCTCTTGGGGCTACACAGGTCCCCATTGTGCAGCTTCCACAGAAGCTCTTCATTCTCCATGGAGAGTCGCTTGTTGACTTTTGACTCCTTCTCCAGCGACTCCTGCAAAACAGCCTGCTCGGTAGAAAGTTGCCTTAAAAACAAACAAACAAAAAAGAGTCAGAAGTCATGTGGATCTATATTAAAAAATAATTTGAAAAAAACTTTCCTACCATTTCACATTTGAAAGCCCCAAATTATCCTTTTGGGATAAAACAATCATACACAAGGTCACAGGTATTTGGCTGAGAAACCCAAACACTAGAAGTATGAGTTTGAGCAAAAAAAAAAAAAAAGGCAATTTTTCATAGTAGGCTGTGACATTTCTGCAAGTATTCTGCATGATTTATGACTATCTTATGCTCAGGGCTGTTTTCTATTTGGTTTTGGGTAGATGTCTCTCTGAAAGCATTCCCAGAGTTGGCCACAGACTCTGGCAGAAGGTTTGCCCGCTTAGGTCTCAGTGCTCGGTCCAGGACACTTTGGTAAAAGCCTGAACTGCTACAAACGTATTTTCCAGAAAGAATTAACACCCTTGAACCATCTGCTTCAATTGTATTTCCACAGGTGCATGGGTGGAAAGTGGCCCGAAAGTGACACTAGATGTTTAAGGAAAGGAGGGGCTTGGGAAAAACAGAACCACTTTATTTTTACCTTGAAATGGCCATGTGCTTGTCCATCCGAGCTTTTAATTCCTCGTTCTCCTGCTGGAATCGCTTCAACTTGTCAACCAATGTTGTGTTGTTGTCCACCTTGGCGTAAACAAGAATTCCAACACTTATAGAGTAATAAAATAAATAAGCCACCTCATTTCTAAAGGCACACCATGACACAAGCACATTTTGGGGAGTTTTGATGAAGGAAAATGTAACCATATGTCACAATATTTACATGCTAACACACTGCAAGAAGAATCTAATGGAGCAAAATAGAGCATATCTCGATTTAAAAAAAAAAAATGTATGCCAGGTTGTTTAAAAATGGACACACTCAGAAGGTAACCGTTTTGTCCAGGTCCTGTTGTTTTAGAATCTCTGCTGAGAAGCAGTGCCCTACCCTGGGAACCCCTGGGTGCTGTGCCTTTTTCCATTTCAAGGTGAAACAAACACTGTGTCAGGACAGCTTGCTGTTATCAAAACGATTACAGCTTCTTATGGCAGACTCCCACATTTGATGAAAACTCATAGGCCAACAGTTTGTAGCTCTTGGCAATGTTTAACATGACCTTAAACAGAGCGACACGAGTGACCACACAAAGCAGCAATTCAGCAAAGCTCTGTAGAGCATCAAATGAAGGAAGTAACACTACAGAAATCCTCCCTCCTCAGCTCAACAGAAAATATGTTTGTTCTCCTGCCTACTTGCCCAGGCTACATTTTCAAGGAAAACAAATTGATTAGTTGAGAGATTAAAGGATAAGATCCCTGAAGACATTTAATCACTTAACATGATGAAGAGCTGATTACATGCAGCTCACTTTCTAAAGGTAGGGTTTTATTACTTGCTTAAGAGGCAACATTGCAGCTCTGTCAGAATTAATTCGCAGTTCTTATCCTTGTAGCATATGACTAATTTACTATGATTATGGTGCTTAGTTTGGAGCCCTGTTGTTCTTAAGACATCCTGGTATCCAGAATATGCCCAGAGCAAGCCATTGCAGTAAAAGAGCTTTCCAGAAAACAAGTCTGGAATATAAGTAAAAGGGAACCTTGAAATGTCTGTACGTATAAAGGAATTCAAGATAACACGAAGCGGAAAAACCTGGAATTAGAGACTAGACAGTGATTAGCTTTTAAATATTATTTCATCCAGTCCTTCATTTTATAGAAGAGGAAACCAGAGCTGATAATATCACAGAGTTCATTACTGGCAGAGTTAGCTTTCATACAAAAGTTTCTTACTTAGAAAACCTCCTTGTGTTTCTAAGTGTCTCTAAGTAGCTTAATTTCTTCAAAGGCCTGCACTTTACAAATAAGTAGGGCTCCCCCATATAATAGTGCAAAGCTGATGGATATTATTAGGATACCTCTTGGGCCTGGCAAGAAACAGAAATATTATAGGTCAATAAAAATTAAGATGTGTTGGTGCTTTTACAGCAGAGTTTGTTTTGCTTCATGTGATTTTCTGACAAGGTTTGATGAATGGCTTATGGAGCCACTAATTATTATCAGGATCATCTGAGTCATCCCTGACTGCCAGATGGAGTTACCGGAGTCAGTATAGCAGGCTGACCTCTGGTGGGAACTGGTATGTATGAGGGGAGACCCCAAAATAATGGAGTTTATTTATTTTAAAAACTGTGTATTTATTCTTCCATGTTTAAACTTCAGTCACCTTCAAAGTGCTCTCTGTTTGATGTAATACACCTACTGAGATGCTTTTTCTACTGGCTCAAGACAGTTTTTGAACTCATCAGTTCTGATTCCTTGTAGTGCTTCTGCCTTTTTTGGTTTTTGTTTCACCTCTTCCACATCGGCAAAATGTTTCCCTTTGAGGACTTTTTTCATTCAGAGAAACAAACCAAAAAAAGTCGCTCAGGGTGAGATGGGGTGAACAGGGAGGGTTGGGCACGGGGGTCATGCTGTTTTTGGTCCAAAACTTCTGAACTTTCAGTGTGGTGTGGGCAGGTGCAGTCGTAAATCATCTGTCATGAAATTAGCAGACATGCTGAAAGAATCTCAAAAAAAAAAAAAATTCACCAAAGGCAAACACAGTCTCTCACAACAATGCTAGCTGGCACAATGATGTCGATGGGTTCTCAGAAACTTGCTTAGCAGGCGAAGCCTGTACTACAATGGGCCCACCCTCCAAAAATGTGTTTTTTGGGTGGTCCCTCCTTGTATACTAGATTGAGCCCATTGACAACCACGAATTCCTTTCCTTTCCTTTAAAATAACAAAACATCCTCATAATTCAAAGTGCCCATATGTCCAAGTAGGGGCTTAGCCATTACCTCCCTCAACAGAGGTAATAGCCTCTAGAAGAAAATCAAACCAAACCAAGCCAAACCAAAACAAATGCACAAAAAACCAAACAGAGTGACTTCCATGCTCCCTACTGTCCAGGACTGGTTTGGGTTTGAATGAAGCACTTGTTCAACCATGAGTCACTTATCACTGGGGAAAGAAGCAGCAGCAAGCAGCACTAGGCAGCTGGCATGGTCAAGAGTGAAGGACACCGATGGCTCGGATCATTTAAGCTGCCTTGCTAAGCTCTGCCAACTCTATTAGAATCCTGGCTGGCAGCAGCTGTGTTTCAGGGCTGGGCCAAGACTGACACCGACACTGGATATGCCACACAAACTTCTGGGTAGACTTGTCACACACGAACATCATTCTCTGTCCTAGGGGCTGCAAACTAAATTTTATTCATACTGTTCACAATGCTTGCTATTTGTCTAACTGGGTTAATCTTACGAAAGCATAATTTTTTTATCACATGCTAATTCACAAGAAGGTGAAGAATTTAGATAAACAGCATTACTCCAGTGGAATTAATTTACATATTCAACTGTTTTGGACAGTTGGTGGTATATTAAAGTACTGATTTTACATCACTGATATTTAAATTTTTTTCTTATGCAGGTGAAAATTCATTCCATTGAAATGTGAGCCTGATTTTCTTGTTATAGTTTTTTCAAGAACTGAATGCTGCTTTTTCATGTTCCTTGGGGGGAAAAAACAAGTTCTAGAAGGCAACAGCAAATAGCTTTCAGCAAACTTGGAAAGAAAAATGTAACCTTTATCTTTTGTATGATTTCCAAATAGTGCTTAATAACAGTTAACCTAACTCCATATTTCTAAATTCAGAGTGCAATTCCTATTTCACAGATTTGGTAAGACACTCATTCTGCTATTCTGATGGAGCCATACCAGTTTCTCCATTTTCATTAACTTGATGTCTTGCTGATGCAATTTCTCATTCTTGATCTCTAACACAGCTTTCAGGCTTTCTAATTCTTGCTCCAAGTACATGATCTGAGGATTTTTCTGGAAAGGACACAGCAAGATATCACTCTGACTTACTTCACACAGTCTCATAGTCCAAATTCTTAATATAAAGAATCTTTGATTAGATTTAGACATTAGACAAACAAGTAGCAAACAACTCCCATCTTCTTTCAGCAGTTTCAAAGAAAAGTGAAAAAGAAGAGTTAAAATCATTTCTCAAAGACTTTGGTCATAATATTAAAAACAAATATTCCACTCATTTATCAGTAACCCAATATAGAAAAATAACGGTTTCATGAAATATGCTATTGAAAACAAGTGAAAAAGCATTGCTTACAATACAAAGCAGAACTCTGGCTGCCGTCTTTTATTGCTGTTTGCAGGGAGAAAGGGAACAAGAATTATCTCTAACCAAAGTAGCTGATCAGGACTAAAAAGGCAATACCTTTACAGAGCTCTCTGGAAAACAATAGAAATAACAATAATGTCCCAAGTCTTCCGACTGTTTTCTTTCTTTGATTGTTTTCTTATGATGGGACTATGCTGGCTGGGCCATACTTCTGGGCATCCATGACATTATTTTTTATTATGACACTCTGACACCTATATGGCATAGAGTATGTACCTTACTAAAATTCTCTCCAAAGTAAACACTACGCGAGGGGAGCGTCCTCTGGGAACATACCATCAGTGTGGATCTCCTATCCCTCCCTCCACATGCCTCACTTCTTGCTTAATGGAAATTCAACTGAACCATCTAAAATTTATGATACAAATTAACATACGATCTACTGATCAGTCGTTTAGTGAAAAAATTTATTGGATAAGATTCAGTATAGATTATCAGGACTATCCCCTGGGGCAGTGGCCAATCCTTAGGGAGAATCAGGGAAGAGGCCTTTGGAGATTATTTAATCCAAACCCCTTACTTCACAGAAGGAAGAAACGTGTTCCATGGCTCTAACAACCTGTGCAGGAAAGATCAGGAAAGCACTTGTCCTACCCTGGAAGGTTCAAGAGCCAGGAAGAGTCAGGGTAGGGGCTGACACTTAGATCTCCACCTCCAGGCTCTTTTGACAGTTACCAGAGGATGGAACAGGAATGTGTGGGTGGGGGAGATGAAGAGAGACTGGTTGATGGGTACACAGATAAAAGAATAAGTTCTAGTATCTGATAGCACAAGTAGGGTGACTATAGTTAACAAAAATACATTGTATATTTCAAAAATAGCTAGAAGATTAGATGTGAAATATTCCTAACACCAAAAAATGACAAATGTTCAGGGTGATGCATATCCAAAATACCCTGACTTGATCAGTAGGCATTCTATGCATGTATGAAAATATCACATGTACCCCATATATACAAATATTATGCATCAATTTTAAAAGTTCAAAAATGTTGTATGAACATTGTTATGCTTGAACATATGATTTTTTTATCCTGAAAATAGCAAATCCTGCCTCATTTTTGTTAGAAGAAAACAGCATAATTTACTCTGTCAATTTTTATTTTTATTTTTTTTGAGTTGGAGTATCACTCTGTCACCCAGACTGGAGTGCAGTGGCCGCTCCCGGCCACCACATCCTCGACCTGCTGGGCTCCAGCGGGCGATCCTTCCGCCTCAGCTTTCCGAGTAGCCGGAATTTCGGGCATGCGCTACCATGCCCGGCTGATTTTTTGATTTATTGTAGAGATGAGGTCTCGCTGCCCAGGCGGGTCTCAGACCCGCGGGCTCAGGCAATCCACTCACCTCAGCCTCCCAAAGGCGCGGGATTATAGGCTGAGCCACCGAGCCCGGCTACTCTGTCAATTTTTAAATTAGAGTATTTATAAGCCTTGTACCCGCTGCACTTTTTCCTATTTCTCTGGCAGCCTGTCCTTTTCTCCCTGACTCAACTCATAGGCGTGCTCTTTTTCTACAACCTTGGCAAGCTTAGATGGGGAAGGCATTAGACATTACTGCGTCCCTCAATCTGTTTCCTCCTTAGCTTTTCAAAAAAGGGTGAGGCAGAAGGACCTCATTTGTGTACCAGGAAGCTGTTTAAGACCTCTTCTCTAAACCATTAGTAAGGTTTATACTCAGTAATGATTTGGAAATCATTGACTTTTCCTAAGAATCTTCCAGAATAAATAGCTTTGAGATTTTCATTGATATGATTTTATCTAATTTTATTTAACGGCTTGAGGTTCTCCCAATGAGATGATCATCAAAAGGTCTGACTGAGAGATCCACATATGTACTTGGAGAACTGGCCACAAATTTCAAGTGGTGAAAAAGCTTTGCTTCTGCAGTCCCAGAGCACAAAAATATAGAATGAAAATGGTGGTACTAAAGGCAGAAGCAGAAAAAAAAAAACAAAACCCTTTTCTCAAAAAAGAAAAAAAAAGAGGAGGGGGCAGGGAAGTAAGAATACACGTTGCGAGAAAAAGTTGAGCTTATAAGAGATATTTGTACTTTTCAAAAGAGATATTTATCCATGCAATGAAATATTATTCATCCATAAAAAGGAATGAAGTACTGATGCATGTTACAACACGGATGAACCCTGAAAACACTAAGTGAAAGATGCCTGTCATAAAAGATCATATATGATCCCATTTGTATGAATTCTCCAGATTAAGCAAATCCATAGAGATAGAAAGTAGACTGGGGGTTGCTTAGTGTTGGGGGGTTTGGGGGTGGATGAGGAATGGTTGCTAATGAGTATAGGGTTTTTTTGGGGGATGATAAAAATGCTCCAAAATCAGATACTGGTGACCAATGCACAACTTCATGAAGATACTGAAAACCATTTTGTGGTCTATAAATTATATCTTAGTACAGTGATTATTATTATTTTTAAAGTAAAGTCTTCACATAAACTCCTGATCCTAATCAATAGTTTTCTTGTTTTCCTGTAGGGTATTAGCTTAGGTCACTGGAAATGTATTGGACTTTATCTGTATGCTAGTTTTCAGGATGTCAAAAAAAAAAAGACACCAGCAAACAAAAAAGCTGTTTCATACTGTTTAAAAGCACATTGCAAGACATGAAAAGGATTTAAATCGGTACTATTTATTTGACTGCTGAACACTTAACTGATTCTCAAAGGCAACTTATCGAAGAAAAATTCAGTTGTGATAAAGCAGCACACCCAACTTACCAAATTTGCTTTCTCTCTTGCTATTCTTTTTTGCTCTTCTAATTTCAGCTTTTCATTTAAAGCATCATTTTCGTTCTTCAGATCATTGATTTGTTTCTAAAACACAAACAATGAAATGTGGAGCATAAGTTACCAAGGAGACATCAGAAACATAGCAAATGTACACAGAAACATATCAAATCACATAATCATCAAGAATGGTGATTATTTTTGTGAAGAGAGGGGTTTTGAGATTCACCCACCTCTAGTGATTCCTGTTTCTCAGAAAGTAAATCTTCAAGTGACTTCTTTTCCATTTCATGGCTTTTCTTAATTTCTGGAAAGAAGGGATATTTTTTGAGGCATAGCATTCTATGGGATCACTGTATACCTCAACGGTTAAAGCATATTGAGGTAGGAGTTGATTATGAAGCAGTAAAATTATGCTACTTTACATCTATATAATACTTTTATGTATATTAAGCCATCTGTTCTCAAAATAGTCCTGAGAGGTGGGCAGGGCAGACAGTCCCATTTTATGACCAAGAACGCTGCGGCCCACAGAAGCCAAGTGACTTTGGGAAACTCTGAGTGTCCATCTAAGGGCAGGATCTCACAACACTGGTCTTCAAATGCCTGGCCAGGAGGAGCTCCTGGGCACCTTTCAGTGTGTTCTTCATGACTCAGACAGAAGCCTAAAATTAAACTCATTTCTAACAGGAAGGAAGAAAAACAATGTTTACTAAATGTCTCCCTTGAGTCAGTCACTTTTACATATTGTTATCTCTGACTTCACCCAACTCTGTTTTTCTGATGAGAAAGTCCTTGTTAAAGGTCACACAGCAAGTCCTCAGCACACATGCACCTGCTGCTCTGTGGGATGCAATTAGCTTGGTAGAGAGACTTCAGCTATACTGAGGACTCTGCTCTAAAAGCGATGGCTAAGTATTATTCTTCTCCTTCTTCTCCTTCCAATGATAATAGATGAAATAATACAAAAGACTCTTTCTTCATTCCGTAAGTGCCATCTACACCTCACAGCAGTGTTGTGTACAAGAGCGCTTAGCATGGCTCCTTTACTGTGGCCAGGATAGAAAATGACACTTTCGACATCCCAGGAACCTACACTGACACCTACCATCACCAAAAAGGCCTCTGAAATCGTGAAAAGTCCACCCTATTTACTAACGGGCTGGCATTTATAACAGTTATTTTTTTGCATCCGTAGGGGAAAGGGCATCTGCTAACAATGAATGATGCAAAAGACAGAAAAAACTAAGCATGCTCCAGACTAAATACCACAGGGCATTCTCTGAAGAGGAAAGTTATGAATCATTTCCGTCCGTAAACATATCATGCTGTTCCATTAGATTTCATTCTGTTTACAGAGAATAAAGCATCCTTGCCTGAAAGGGAGGCTTCATATGCCTTCTTTAGCAATTCTACTTTCTCCGAGTGGGTAGCTTCAATTTCCAACTTAGAGGTTTCGTGGGCAGCATTTAAGTTGTCAAACTATAAGAAACAAACAAAACCACAGTTTGACAGTAAAACTGAAAGTCTTAAGTTGAATGAGCAGCAGCAACATTAGAAGACTTTATGTATGAGCTCGCAGCTTAAGGGCTAACAGATTGTACAAAACACATAAGAAACAACTCCACTTGAACTTCCCACTCCCAACTCTCCACTCTATCTTCCCCAGGATCACAAGACACAGAAGCTCTCCAGGGGCCGCCTATGGAAATGTCTGAGTCCGTCCCAAGGAATGAGGATATATCTCGTGGTGACAGTGCCAAATATGCTCCGTGCCTGTCATGTTGACTACTAGCTGTATCCTCAGTCACTAGCAAATACCTAGCTGAGAGTAGGCACTCTGTGAATATTTGCCAAATGAAAAACTTGGTTTAATAGGGAGCCAGGGTTGAGCTTGGTGGCTCAGCCTGTAATCCCAGCACTTGGAGAGGTTGAGGCAAGAGGATTGCCTGAGCCTGTGGGTTCGAGACCAACCGGGGCAACTTGGCGAGACCTTGTCTCTACAATAAATAAAAAATTAGCCAGGTGTGGTAGTGTGCACTGTAGTTCTGTTATTTGGAAGGCTGAGGTGGAAGGATTGCTGGAGCCCAGCAGGTCGATGCTGGGGTGGCCATGAGTATGCCACTGCACTCCAGCCTGAGCGATGGAGTGAGACTCCAACTCAAAAAAAAAGAAGCCAGGAAATTTAAAAGAGACTTCTGACATGCCATTAAAAAAAAAAAAAAAAGAAAAATGATGCAAACCAATGGTTAGGCAGTATATCATAAAGGGTTGTTTTTATTTTTAATCTCTTCCTTTTTTCTTTCCTTCTTTCACTCAACATGTACATTGTTTTGATCATAAGAAAAAATTCAATTAAAGAAAAGTCTTTTTCACCCATTGAACTAAAAAACAGAGAGAAACTCATCAAAGGACGTGAAGGGCAATCAGAATTCAAGTCAACAGGTGAGGCCAAGAACACGCCCCAGTTCCGCAAGCACAGACCTGCTCCTGCAGTTGCACTTTGTACTTCTCTGCCTCTTCGATGTAAGTGTTCTGAAGCTTTTCATACTCCCTGGTGTAAAATTCCTTTAGCCGATTCTCTCGCTCTGTTTTTTCAGCCTGGTGCTGCTGGACAAATCCTTCATATGCTGTTTGTAACTCATTCCTGGCTTTTTCTAATTTCTCGCAGGTGGCTGAAGCAGTGACTGAAAAGAGATGAAATAGGGAGATGCCATTTCATTTGCCAAATGTCCTAAATTCATGACAGTCCATGCACAGCTGTGATGACGCCAAACATAAACACAATAAAATCTTGGAGTTCTCTGGTGACCAGATCTTCCAGCATAAGAGTATGGGAATGAACGGTACAAAGAAATGAGATGATCTCTGGCAGCAAAACAACAGCAAAAAACACTCAGAAAATGGATTGGCAAGCAGTAAGAGAAGAACTTGCAAGGAGCCAGGCACCCAAGTGAAGATGACCCTTTTGCATGGTGACCAATCAGTGCAGTGGCCATAAAGGGAGGAGTCTCTGATTGGCCAAGACATTTCTAAGCACAAGTTATTCCACTCCTAGTCAACCAGTATGGGAGAAGCTGAGACACAGAAACAAGTAGACTTTAAACTTGTACTTAATTTTAGCCGATTTCTATTTGTTGTTTCAAAACTACCCAATAAAAAAAATTAGCCTAAACACAAATCACTAAAGCATACAAATTTTAGAAAAAAAAATTTCAAAAGTGCCATATGTAATATGAATATATTGAAAGGTTAACATTTTAATAGGGTAAAGTAACTTGACAAGCCAGTTTAAAATCAGAGCATCCTACCTCTTTCTCACCCCTACCAGATCAGAATGGCTAACAATATAGTCCATGGCAGAACATGCACAGAGACACATGTACACATGCTATTGGTTTTATTATTGTTGTTGTTTGAGTTGGAGTCTCACTTCGTCGCCCAGGCTGGAGGGCCGTGGCATGCTCACGGCCACCTCAGCATCGACCTGCTGGGCTTCGGCGATCCTTCCGTTGCAGCCTTCCAAGTAGCCTGAACTGCAGGCATGCGCCACCACGCCCAGCTAATTTCTTGATTTATTGTAGAGATAAGGTCTCACCATGTTGCTCAGGCAATCCTCTCACCTCGGCTTCCCAAAGAGATGGGATTACAGACTTAAGCCACTGCACCTGGCCCATGTACACATGCTATAATAAAATTCGGAAGATCTTGAATCTCTCAGGAAGCTTGACTTTGGAAGTTTCCAAGCATTTTTCACCCATGCATAAATATAGGGAAACCGTCATTGTCAGGAGAGGGCATGGCTACTGGCAAGTCTGTTAATTTAATCCTTACCACTCTTTTGGTAAGGAATACGTATTTCAGGAGTTGTGAAATTGAAAATGTTATTTTAGGGCAGAGAAAAGGACTGTTTAGACCAATAGTTATTAAGGAATATGAAACAGCAGATTCCTGGGACAAGTCGACACCGGCATGGACTTGTTTCCTTAGGAGTATACCAGGTGATGGCAGAAATACCAAAGTCGCTTGCCCCAAATCAATATTCTTTCAGAGATAAAAGAGGCCATAATGAACTAGTGGCAAGAATTGTGTTTGATAAAGAGAATACTTAAAAAAATAAATTTAAAAAATTTATTGAAGGGGAAAGGAACTAACATTTTTTAAAAATTCCAAACTCAAAATCCACTACTCAGTGCCTAGCAAAGGATAGGGCTCCATGTGTGTATCTTGTCTAACTCTCACAGAGGTCCTGTGAGAATATCATTCCTAAATGTATAAACAAGGAAAAACCAACACACAGAAAGGGTACACAATCTGCTCTGAGGCATAGAGCTAATAAGTAAGTGGTAGAAGACTGAATTTTGGTGAGCAGTTGAATTCTGATTCTGTCTGCACCAAAAGCCTGTGCCCCTTCCTTCCCTCCAAGTTGCTTCTTGGACCAGGAACTGGCAAGTTGCATGAGGTCCTCTCCTGGGAAGTCATCATTAAATGGCGAAGATGAGACAGACATATAAAAAGAGGCAGTACCGAGCAGACCTAGAGGCCCAGGGAGTGACACTCAGGGTAGTTTACATCCAGTCAGAGTGGACCAGAAGGTTTGGTCAGATTTTTAAAATAATTTTTTGAAAAAAACTGTAATGAAATAGATATAAAATTAGCCACTTCAATTATTAAGCGTACAATTCAGTAGCATTAAACATTCACATTCAGTAGCATTCAGTAGCATTAAGTACATCCACATTGCCATATAGCTATCACCAATCCATCTCCAGAACTTTCTCCCTAAACTGAAATTCTATACCAATTAAACAGTAACTATTCATTCCCTCCCCTTCCAAGTCCCTGGCAGGCACCACTTTACTTTCTATATGAATCTGACTACTCTAGATACCTCAGATATGTGGATTCCTGTAGTACTTGTCCTTTTGTGACGGCTTATTCCATTTAGCATAATGTCCTTAATGTCTATAATGTTCATCCATGCTGCAGCATATGTCAGATTTTCCTTCCTTTTTTAGGCTGAATAACATTCCATTGTATGTATACACCACATTCTGTTTATTTACTCACCTGTTGGAGAAATTGGGCTGCCTCCCCCTTTTGGGTATTGTAAATAATGCTGCTATGAACATGGGTGTACAAATATATACTTAAGTCCTTGCTTTTTTCAATTCCTTTGTGTATATACCCAGAAGTGGAATGGCTAGACCATGCTGATTCCATTATTTGTTATTTGAAGCATCATTATACTGCACCATTTTACATTCCCACCAGCAGAACATAAGGGTCCCAATTTCTCCATAGCCTCACCAAAACCTATTTTATTGTTTCCAAATACTTGTATAATACCCATTCTAATGAGTGTGAGGTGCTATATCATTGCGGTTTCGATTTGGCCAAGTTTTTTAATTGATCCATGTGATACAAATAAAACTCTGGTATCAAGGGTGAAAACTGTGTCCCAGCATGAGAAATAGTAGGAGACTGCACAGTGTGATTTGGGGACTAAAATTCTCACAGAAAAATTGGAAATAAGATCCAAAAAGATAGATGTGAACCAAATTATGGGGGACAGTACATAGAATATCACTAATAACTCAGTTCTTTGGGATTACATATTGAGGTTCTTTTCATTTAAAAGAATTCAGTAAAAGATAATGACTTTCTTGATTGCTAAAGACTACCCTCTTCACATTTTTCCTTTGTTACACTATTTACCATAGGAGAAAAAAAAGTTCAAGTAGTCAAATGTAAGTCAGATGAGTAAATACAACATTAGCTTCTGCAAACTACTTTTCCAATCTACACAAATAAAGTGACGGGGCCACAAGCGTTCTCTGAAGTTTCCTTATGTGAATCTCAGATCAGAAGTTAATATGAAAGTGGGCAACAACAATAAAAATACTTTGCAAGCAATCCATGAAGGCATCAAATAGCTTTCCAGTCAGAGAAATTTTGATTTTACATAGCCTTTTCACCTAATTCCCTTGGAATTTTAGATATCAGCAAAGCTTTTTAAAAAGCAAGAACATGATCCAAGTCCATCTGGAAACTCATATCAGAGATAAAAACATCTAAGTGGATGCATGGTTTGCAAATATATATATATATATTCCCATTCTATGGGTTGTCTCTTTACTCTCTTGAAGATTTCTTTTGCCGTGTAAAAACTTTTTTTTTTATTTTTTGAGTTGGAGTCTCACTCTGTTGCCCAGGAAGGAGTGCAGTGGCATGCTCAAGGTCAGCCAGACATTGACCTGCTGGACTCTGGCAACCCTTCTGCCTCAGCCTTCCAAGTAGCTGGAACTACAGGCGCTACCATGCCCAGCTAATTTTTAAAAAATTTATTGTAGAGACAAGGTCTCACCAAGTTGCCTGGACTGGTCTCGAACCTGTGAGCTCAGGCAATCCATTCACCTCTGCCTCCCAAAGTGCTGGGATTACAGGTTGAGCCACCGAGCCCAGCCTGTAACAACTTTTTTAGCTTAGTAAGTTACCACCCATCAATTTTAGATTTTTTTACATTTGTTTTTGAGAACATGGCCATGAATTGTCCAGGAGAGTGTTCCCTAATTTTTTTTAAGACTCTTATAATTTGAAGTTTCACATTTAAGTTATTGATCCATTGTGAGTCAATTTTTGTATATGGTGATAAATAGAAGTTTCATTCTTTTGCGTGTGTCTAGCCAGTTTTCCCAGCTAACTATGGTTTCTTTTCCCCAACGTTTGTTTTTGATGAGTTTTTGTAGATCTGTGGTTTTATTTCTAGGTTCTCTGTTGTGTTCCACTGATCTATGTGTCTGTTTTTGTACCAGTACCATGTTGTTGTCTTGATTACTATAGCCTTGTAATAAAGTTTTAAATGTGGAAATGTGGTCCCTCCAGCTTTGTTCTTTTTGTTGAGGACTGCTTTAGCTGTTCAGGCTCTTTTTTGCTTCCATATGAATTTCTGTATTGTCTTTTCTAGGTCTGTGAAAAATGATGCTGGGAATTATGTTGAATCTGTAGATTGCCTTGGGTAGAATGGACATCTTGAGGATATTGAATTCTTCCAATCCATGAGCACAGGATGTTCTTTCATTTGTTTATTTGTATCATTCTTCAGTTTTTTTGCACAGTGTTTGGTAGTTCTCACCGTACAGGTCTTTCATCTCTTTGGTTATATGATGTTGAGGTATTTGTGTGTGTGGCTACTGTAAGTAGGATTTCATTTTTTATTTGGTTCTCAGTTTGCTCGTTCTTGGCATATAGACATGTAACTGGTTTTTGTTTTGTTTTGTTTTTGGTACATTGATTTTGTATCCTGAGACTTTACTGAAGTCGTCTAACAGCATGAGGAAGTTTTTGACAGACTCTAGGATTTTCTGGGTATAGAATCACAGCATCTGACAAAAGCCCGATATCCAGAATTCATAAGAAACTCAAATTGACAGGAAAAATACTAATAGCCCCATTAAAAAGTAGGCAAAGGACAAGAACTTCTCAAAGACAGACATTCAAGCAGTCAAGAAATATATTTTAAAATGCTCATCTTCACTAATCATCAGAAAAATGCAAATTAAAAGTACAATGAGATACCACCTTACACTGGTCAGGATGGCTATCATTAAAAAGTCAAAAAACAAAACAAAACAAAAGCAACAGGCACTGGCGAGGCAGCCGAGAAAAGAGAATGCTTCTACCCTGT